AAATAAATAAATAAAAATAAAAAAAATAAAAAAAAAATAAAGTTCCACCTGCTGGAGAGAAGGGTGTCAAATGCTATGTGGTTGTACATTAAAATCACAAAAGTAATTTACAGGGAAATACTCTGAGGTTAGGCAAATACTTTTCCTCCTTTAAGTGTCCCCGATTTCAGATTTCATTAATAGATCTTGCCTACTGTAATTATTACTATGGTGTTCTAATCTTAATTTTCTTTTCCTTTATTAAAAGTGTTCTGGCCTGGCCAGTGTTGCTCAGTGGTGTCAAGCTATGAATCAGGTCACGGTTTGATTCCCAGTCAGAGCACATGCCCAGGTTGCCTGCTTGATCCCATGGAGGCATGCAACAAGCAGCCGATCCATGATTCTCTCTCATCATTGATGCTTCTATCTCTCTCTCCCTCTCCCTTCCTCTCTGAAATCAATAAAAATACATTTAATAAAACAAGTATTCTGTATGATGAAGGCCGGGGGGTGGGGAGCAGGGAAGAACAAGACTAGAAGGGGTCAATGGGAAACAAAAGAAAAAATTATCCTGAAAGGAAGATTTGTCCCTCCACCCCTATTATTTATTCATCCAATCATTTACAGAATAGGATTCAGGAATATTTATTTTATTTTTTGAGCTATAAACCAATATCATCATTTATTATGTTGCTCAAATTTTTCAATTTTGTGCTTTGGTGCTCTATCAATTTCGCTCCAAATAGTCCTATTAGTATCATCAACGAGACAAGCCAGTACACGTCTCCGCTGATGCCTGACACACTGCTTCAGTGCTGCCCACTTTTCCTTTTGTTTTTCCTTGCTTTCTCGCACCACAAGATGTTCCAGGCCCATCTTTTATTTCCTTTGTTCCAGTTGTAGAATCAAACATTTCTCTAAGGAGCCCAGTTTCTTTCGCTGGAGAACTACATTTTAAAAAACAAGTTCTGGCCCTGGCTGGTCTGGCTCAGTGGACAGAGTATTAGCCTGCGGACTGAAGGGTCCCGGGTTCAATTCTGGTCGAGGGCATATGCCTGCGTTGCAGGCTCGATTCCCCATAAGGGTGTGTGTGCAGGAGGCAGCCAATCAATGATTCTCTTTCATCTTTCTCTCCCTTTCTCTTTGAAATCAATTAATATTTTTTTAAAAGTTCTGTGTATATACTTTAATATTTAGCAAAGTTACTCCTTCCACATTACACAAGCTTAAAACTTTTTTAAATATTCAATCTGTTTTTCTTCCTTGAATAATTTTTTCAGTCACTATTAATTATTTTAAGCCTGCTAATTTGTGCCAGAAAAAATAAAAGCACCTATTTTTTTAGTTACTACTTTTAATAAAGTTATAAATGACCTAAATGTCCATCAATGAAAAAAATGGGCAAATCCATTCTGGCATTTTGATGCAGAACAAATAAATAATATTGACAGAGAGAAAACAAACTATAGCTATACTTTTAATATGTATGGTGTACTGTGGAAAAAACATTCAGAAAGATACTATTTATAAAAAGTTTAGCCGAAACCGGTTTGGCTCAATGGATAGAGTGTCGGCTTGGGGACTGAGGGACCCAGGTTCGATTCAGGCAAGGGCATGTATTTTGGTTGCGGGCATATCCCCAGTAGGGGGTGTGCAAGAGGCGGCTGATCGATGACTCTCTCTCATCGATGTTTCTAACTCTCTATCTCTCTCCCTTCCTCTCTGTACAAAATCAATAAAAATATATATTAAAAAAAAAAAGTTAAAAATATGCAAGCAATACTATGTATTATTAAAAAATATTTTTATTGAAGTAACATTGCTTAATAGCAGTATAGTTTCAGGTATACATTATAATTTGACAACTGTATACACTATAATGTGTTTATCACGGAAGAGATTACATATAAGTAGTATGTAAATACATGAAAAAAAAAAAACACAACAAAATTCAGGTTACTGGTTTGGGAGAGGAAAGGCAGAAAAGAGAAATATGATCGGTGAGGAGTATACAGGGAATAGCAATTCTATTAGCAATGCTTTAGTTTTTTTAGAGTGACAATACATTGATGCTCAAAACACTTCATAATATTATTTTATTCTTATTTACTTATTTAAATGTGTTTTTATTGATTTTGAGAGAGAGAAAGGGAGAGGGAAAGATAGAAACATCAATGATGAGAATCATTGATTGGCTGCCTATTCATGCCCCTTACTGGGGGTCAAGCCTGTGCCCTGACTGGGAATCCTGGCTCCTGGGTTGACGCTCAATCACTGAGCCACACTGGCCAGGGTCATAAATTCTTTTAAAAGATATAAACAAATGAAAAGATTAAGTAAGAATAAAAAAGTAGTTAATCCATATGAGAACAGCTGGGAAAACCTAACTACCACTCAGAATAAGCTGGTTGATAGACTGACTCGTTAAGCCTGGAAAGATAAAAACAGAAAGAGAATATAAACTATGAAGAGTATAAGTAGAATCACTAGATACTAAAACATGAAGTTCTGCCGAGACCGGTTTGGCTCAATGGATAGAGCGTCGGCTTGGGGACTGAAAGGTCCCGGGTTCGATTCCGGTCAAGGGCATGTGCCTTGGTTGCGGGCATATCCCCAGTAGGGGGTGTGCAAGAGGCAGCTGGTCGATGACTCTCTCTCATCGATGTTTCTATCTCTCTATCTCTCTCCCTTCCTCTCTGTACAAAATCAATAAAATATATTTAAAAAAAAATAATAAAAAAAATAAAAAAAAATAAAACATGAAGTTCTGGGAACTTAAAAATCTGACTTATTATTTCAAAGAGGTATTATGGTCAGAAACATAAAGGTTAAATATAGTTACTATTAAGTAATAATGTTTTATTAAAAGGAAGCTAAAATATTGAAGAAAATAAAATGCTAAAAAACAATGGGACACAATGAGAATATAAAGGGGCCAACTTAAAGGATTCCCACTTACTAAACCTGGGAATCAAAATTACAATGGCTGTATCCCACTGAATAAAATAAGAACCCCTGGATTCATACTATAAAAAATAAGAATTGGATTAGGACAATAGCATCTGAACCAAGCGATCAAAGTTAATATAGTAAGTCCTGGAATAATGTCATTTTGTTCAATGCTGTTTTGTTATTTTGATGAGATATTGTAGGAACTTAACTTTTGTTTATTATATCAATTAGCCTATAGTAAAATGGGTTTCATTATATACCATTTTGCTTAAAGTTACAGAACCTACTGATGATGACAGATGAGGATTTATTGTATCACCAATGAGACAAACATCATGTGCCTTCCATGTGATATGATGCACTAAAGATACCACTTCACTGATATTCCTGCCAAAAATGAATCTTCTGAATCATGATTATGGGGAAAAAGATAAATTCAAAATTGAGGGACTCTACAAAATGAATGGCCTACACTATTTCAAATTGTCAATATAATGAAAAACAAAATCTAAGAAATGTTTCACATTAAAGAAGAATAAGGAGATACGACAAATAAATGCAATGTATGATTGCAGATTGGGGAAAAAACTGATATAAAGAATATTATTGGGACAACTGGAGAAATCTGATTATGGTTTTGAAATGGGATAATTGTATAATATCAACGTTAAGTTTCTTGATTTTAATAACTCCATTGTAGTTATGTAAGAAAATGTCATTGTTTTTAGAAAACACTGAACTATTTAGGGGTGAAAGACATATGACTGTAACTCATTCTCAAATGGTTCCAGGAAAAAACACACAGTATTTTGAGTATACACTGAGTGGCCAAATTTTTTTTTTTTTTAATTTATTGATTTTGTACAGAGAGGAAGGGAGAGAGATAGAGAGTTAGAAACATCGATGAGAGAGAGTCATCCATCAGCTGCCTCTTGCACACCCCCTACTGGGGATATACCCGCAACCAAGGTACATGCCCTTGACCGGAATCGAATCCGGGACCCTTCAGTCCCCAAGCCGACACTCTATCCATTGAGCCAAACTGGTTTTGGCCTGAGTGGCCAAATTATTATGATCTCTGAACGCATAATAATCTGGCCACTCGTGTGTGTGTATGTGTGTGTGTGTGTGTGTGTGTGTTGTGTGTGTGTATGTATGTTAGAAGCCCGGTGCATGAATTTGTGAATGGATGGGGTCCGGCCAGCCTGGCCAGTGGGAGGGGATATGGGCGGTTGGCTGGCCTGCCTGCTGGCTGAACTCCTGGTTGAGGGGACAATTTGCATATTAGCCTTTTATTATATAGAACATACACTGAGTGGCCAGATTATTATGCGTTCAGAGATCATAATAATCCGGTCACTCAGTGTATACAAATAGATACAGACATAAGAATTAGGTAGATGGCAAAATGTTAACTGGTGCCTTAGTTGATGTCAGCCCTTGGACCAAAGGGTCATGGGTTCAATTCCACAACAACAAGAATCTTAACTGGCAGGTCTAGATGAAAAATAGACGAAGTTCTTTTTAAAAGTTATGTGATATTTGTGTCATTTTGAAATTCAAAAATTGTTATAATACAAAAAGAATACTGTAGAGACATTGTTGTCTTAAAATTAAGAGGGCAATTACCATACTTTCAACATATTTCTCAGTTCCAACAGCAGATGGTGATTAGACTTGAGATTTCTAACGACAGACTTTTACTTACAATAATAAATTCTTTAAAAAAAAAAAAATATATATATATATATATATTGATTTTGTTTTACAGAGAAGAAGGGAGAGGGATAGAGAGAAACATCAATGAGAGAGAAACATCGATCAGCTGCATCCCACACACCTCCTACTGGAGATGTACCCGCAACCAAGGTACATGCCCTTGACTGGAATTGAACCTGGAACCCTTTAGTCCACAGGTCAATGCTCTATTCACTGAGCCAAACTGGTCAGGGCTATAGTAATAAATTTTTGTTGACCATTAAAAACACCTTTGCAGCTTTGGCCAAAAGACTCTCAAAAAACAGAAGAAGCTCATCTCATGTGAATAATACATGTGCCCTTCCTTTTACCTGAGACATCCATCTGTCATCTCCTTGAATATCTTCCGCTGCATGTGGAATGGCTGCTGGGTTTGAGTCTCCTTGGCTCATTCTATACCTGAGGAAAATAACATGTGTGTCATTTTTCATCCATCAACAGAAATATTTATTTGTTACTGCTTAAGTACTACATGCCAGTAAATACAATTTAAGTTTTGTTGTGGTTTTGCATGGACTTTATTTTCAGCAGAAATGAATTCCAGGACACAACTGCTTAAGTCCCATAAATATCCAGCAGCACTAAACTCCTAGGCAGGTCTGAATATCATTTAGAAATAGTGCATTACATTTAAAAAGTCTGATCCTAGTAATTAATTTTTCACGATTGCATGTTACTATTCTACCAAAGGACACAAGGAATTAGGCACCTATAGTTCAATGAAATTTATATTAGAGCTTTTTAGGTTGCTAGTTACATAATTAAGTATTATTATAGTGATACCACTGTTCACAAATATCACAAATAACTGTATTACATATCACGTTAAAATTGGCCATAGGCTTTGGCCCTGGTTCTTGAGACAAACATTTACTAGGTATTTTTGCTTATGAAAGATCTCCACTAAGAACATTTTATTAACGATGAACACAAAGATGGCATCTCATAGTGGAGAAGAAAGAATAAGTGAAATTCAGAAAAATCATAAAGTCTAATCTTCTAGGTGTGGGGAATCTTTTTTCTGCGAAGGGCCATTTGAATATTTACATCATTTATGGGCTATACAAACTTATCAACTTAAAAATGAGCCTGCTATATTTGGCCAAATGTTTAATTAACTCATCCCTAATGCCTTGGCAGGGCCAGACCAAATGATCTCACTGGCCTTATACTGCCCACGGGCCAGACATTCTCCACCTGTTCTAGAAAGACAATTAAAAAGCCAGACTGCTCTCAACCAACAATGGAGAATACATATTAGAGACATTAGGCTAAAGAGGGCACTTGGCAAATGCAAAGGATGATGAAAAAAGGAAAAATCGTGGGTTTTGTGGCTTATAAAGAAAGGAGACCATATTCATCTTTTTCCTTCTTTTGCCATCCTCAATACAGCTAAACTTTCTCAGAAGGAAGACTGAGTTTTACTACTGATTATACAAACAAATTAGCGCAGTTCTAAATTATATAGGTCTAAATAAATTAGGCTCACGTTTAGACCCATATCTGACTGAAGATATAAAACGCCACCCACTCCTTATGTATATATTTCTTCAGATTACTAAAATTTGCAACTATCAATAATAGCATCTTTCTATGAAGGACTATGTTATGTAACCAATTCTCACAAAAGTGCTGCAAAATGAGAAAAATAAGGATCAGACAATTTAGGTAATTTGCATGGTGAGTGACTGAAATTAGGTTTGTCTGACCCCCGCAATGTCACATCTGGCCCACTGATCACAAAAGAATTCATAGATCACTCCCTAAAGAGGGCCTTATATATAACCATTTTATTCAAAAGACATACATAAATATTACACAGAGATAAAAACATCAAGGTAAAAATACAATAATCAGGAAGAACTGCAAGATGAACTTATATAATTCCAATCAGACTATGTATGATATGTTTGGAGTATCATTGTCTTAAAAAGGTATGAAAAAAATTAAAACATGCATAAAGGAAAAAGAAAAATGATTAAAGGGATTAAAACAAATAGCCATATAGAATTATTTAATCTTAGGTTTTCGCTTTTTTAACCCCATAAAACAATCTATAAAAGTATCTTTGGGTCTAAGTTCAATTATAGAATTAAGTCTGCTATTCAGGCTAAATATGACATAATCTATAATAATAAAAGCCTAATATGTTAATTAGACTGAACAGCTAACCAACCTTCTAGATGACACCGAGGCTGTGAGGGCCCTACCCTTGCACGAATTCTGTGCATTGGGTCTCTAGTGTTTAATAGTATTTTAATTTATTCAAAAGAAGACAGAAGGAAGGCTAAGAGGCACATGAAAACATGCTCAAAGTCACTAATTATCCGAGAGATGCAAATCAAAACAACAATGCGGTACCATCTCACACCTGTCAGAACAGCTAACATCAACAAATCAACAACCGACAAATGTTGGCGAGGTTGCGGAGAAAAAGGAACCCTCGTGCACTGCTGTGGGAATGCAGACTAGTGCAACCACTGTGGAGAACAGTGTGGAGTTTCCTCAAAAAACTGAAAATGGAACTCCCATTTGACCCAGTAATCCCACTCCTAGGAATATATCCCAAGAAACTAGAAACACCAATCAGAAAGGATATATGCACCCCTATGTTCATAGCAGCACAATCTACAATAGCTAGAATCTGGAAACAGCCTAAACAGCTAGAATCTGGTGCCTGTCAGCAGATGATTGGATCAAAAAACTATAGTACATCTACACAATGGAATACTATGCTGCCATAAAAAAGGAATTCTCATCATTTGCAGCAACCTGGATAGAACTAGAGAACATCATGCTGAGTGAAATAAGCCAGTCAATGAAAGAGAAATACCACATGGCCTCACTCATTTATGGATATTAAAGAACATTATAAACTGATGAACCAAAAGTGAGATATAAAGACAGTAAAGCAACAAGCAGACTGTCAAATTAAAGCGGGGAGGGTAGGGAGATCTGGGGGAGATAAGAGATCAACCGAAGGACTTGTATACATGCATATAAGTACAACCAATGGACACAAAACTCTGGGGAGATAGGGTATGTATAGGGGGGCAATGTTAAAATATGTACACAGATAATAATTTAATAAAAAAATATTAAAAAACAGTATTTTAATTTAAAGAGTTCCTTATTTCCCTGCTGATCACATGCTCTATTGGCCTTAAGACACATAAAGGGCAATCAACATTTCCTACATTATGGATTTTTAAATTAGACATACAATGTAAAGAAATATAAGAACGAGCTCCATTTTCCACTCACTAACTGAAAAAGTCTATTTTCTAACTTAATTTTTAAAATAGATTTAAGAAATCCAACCATTTCATTCGTTTTTTTCTATTTATTTTCCCACCTGGGGAAACACTTAACATGTTAGGTATTTTGAGGCAAAAGTGAACTTTACAGAGTTTAAAAAGAGTATAATTAAGAATCACTAATGAAGGAGAAAAATAATCTCTCCTACTCTCACTATTATATAATTGAAACTATTTTTACTGGGGATTGCTTAAAGAGGAAGAGAGACAGCCCTAGCCAGTTTGGCTCAATGAATAGAGCATTGGCCTGCAGACTAACGGGTCCTGGGTTCAATTCCAGCCAAGGGCACTTGCCTGGGATGTGTGGGGTTGAACCCCAGTAAGAACATGCAGGAGGCAGCCAGTCAACAATTTTCTTTCATCACTGATGTTTCTATCTCTCTTTCCCTTCCTCTCTAAAATCAATAAAAATATATTTAAAAAAATAAAGAGCAAGAGTGTCCAACTATCAATATGAAGTACCTTCATAATAAATGTATTCAAATACATCCCTCACCGCATAAAGACAAAGTGCAGATAGGCCCTTAAGCTCATTTTAGCTCTTGGGATAACATGTTCAAATCTTGTTGAAAAACTTATAAAGAGCCGAAACTGGTTTGGCTCAAGGGATAGAGCGTCAGCCTGCGGACTGAAAGGTCCCAGGTTCGATTCCGGTCAAGGGCATGTACCTTGGTTGCGGGCACATCCCCGGTAGGGGGTGTGCAAGGGACAGCTGAACGATGATTCTCTCTCATCGATGTTTCTAACTCTCTATCCCTCTCTCTTCCTCTCTGTAAAAAATCAATAAAATATATATTTTTTAAAAACTTATAAAGAATTTTGACAACTGGAGAGTGTCTAGAGGAAATGAGCCAAGATAATGAGAAATTTGAAAACCTTTCATAATAGGGTAGTTTTTAAGAAATGGCTATGTATAAACTAGGTATCTATAGAAAAACTGGTTGGGGAAGAGGAAGAAGACACAGAACATAGAGCTGTCAACATATTAAAAAATGACTAGGAAGGGATTTTAGGATTATTCTACATGTCTCCACAGATGAATATAAAGCCATTGATAGAATATAAAGTGAGTCAAGTTTCTAACAAATATGACTACAAAGCCACATGGCCTGTCTCTCAAGGTAGATTCCTCCAACAAAGAGTCAAAAGAGAGGCTGGGTGAATACCCAATAGGAAAGCATAAAGTGAACTAAAGCAGATGAGTCAAGACCGGTCCAGATTAGTGTGGTCCAAACACTGTTTTTGTTTTAGAAACTTGCCAGTGTGCACACACTCTACTTTCAAGACCAGTGGTTTACACTGTAAGATCTACTTAGGCCTATGATTCATTTTACATGGATTTTCAGAGTTCCTCCAACAGGGAAACGACTGATTTAGAATAATAATTGCAAGTAAGTTTTATTAAGAACTTACTATTTACAAGATAGTGTGTATTATTTTGACAAAGTAGCTTTCATTTTTACAGATGCCCATGGCTTGATAACATTTTTAAACATGAGGTAAAGAAAAACAGCCACAAGCCCATGCAACCTCCTCTTTAAGAACCAAGATGGAAATGTACAATCTGGTTCATTTAGAAGATTCAAAGAATTTGGGAGTTGAATAAAATAAACTTATATTCTTTACAAAAAAAAAAAAAAAAAAAAGAATGAAGAGCTATCCAGAGAACAGCCTGTATAGGTCACAAAACCTGAGTGATGCTGGGTTTTCCCCTCCCTCAGTAGAGAGCACTATTGTGACACAGTGGCATTCAGAATGGCCAAGCTGTAATCAACAGACATCAAAACGGACCACAGGGAGGGATCTGACTGCCATCTCACCTTCCTGATTCCTGATCATCTCCCCTGTGCAGCATTCGCTTGAGATCACAAGCTGTAGGTTCAGTTAGAAAAACCCAGCCTAAAGGAGAAAAAGGCCCAAAGACCGCCAGTTTTGTTAACTGACCAGGAGAGACTGTGCCAGGTAAGCTCCTTGCCCATTAAAATGAGTTTTCTGGGAAGAAGAGATGCACAGCATCCCAAGTTCCCTGCGCTGCCTGTCTTCCTCCTCAGCCCCCACTGACAGCAGGACACCAA